GCATCTTGGCTCTGCTAGTGCCCGGCCCAGGGGGGAGCTGAACTCCCAGGGCTCTGCCTGGCACTGCAGACCCAGGTGTGCCCCTCACCCTGGCAGCACTGGTTGCTTTGCAGGAGAAACTGACATGAAGGTTCACTGCTGTGTGGCTGCCTACATCTCTGACTACGCCTTCCTGGGCACAGCCCTGCTCCCGCACCGGCAGTACCGCATCCCGTTCATGGTGTCCCTTGACCACTCCATGTGGTTCCACGCACCCTTCCGAGCGGACCACTGGATGCTGTACGAGTGTGAGAGCCCCTGGGCTGGTGAGTCCCTGATGCCTTCCCCGGGGACCTGCCTGGCAAAGGCCAGCCCTGCCCATCCTGGGGGCACTGGGCGCTGGTCTGACAGACCCTCTCTGCAGGCGGGTGCCGGGGACTGGTGCAGGGGCGGCTGTGGCGCAGGGACGGGGTCCTGGCTGTCTCCTGTGCGCAGGAAGGAGTCATCCGGGTAGAGCAAACACGAAACCAGAGCAAGCTGTAGCTGAGGGACCCCTGTGGGCTGGGACATGCTAAGGAGGAACTCCAGGACCAAAAGAGATGCAAGGCAGAAAGAAGCCTTGAAAGAGACAGGACCGGATCCAACACTGCAAGGATGGGGACCTGTGGGGATGTGGACCTGCTGGGGCAGCCTCTGAGACCGACTGCCAGCTGTGCCATGTGTCACCACATGCTGCAATCACCCGCCCTTCACCCGCCTTCAATAAAGCCATTAGGTGAACTGCTGGACTCTGTCCCCTGGACTTTCTCAGCCCCTTGACTGTCCTCACCCAAGGGAGTCTGGGGCAGCCAGGGCAGCTGTGCCCCTGGCAGCATCTGGGTCAGGAGGGAAAAGTGTTTCTGCAGCACATGCAACTTCTCTTTCTCATTTCTGCCCTCCCTGTGCCCTAGTTGCTGCTCCTGCTCACCCTCTGGATCTCCAGGTGGGCTGGGGACAGGACCAGCTCCTGAGAGTTGTGGAAGGGCACAGGGCAGCTCCCACCACAGTGTGGGGGGCTGGAGGTATCCCACTGATGGTGCCCTGTGGCAGTGATGCTGATCAGACTCAGCAGGCGCCTGCACATCTTCCTACTGAGACTTTATTATAAAGTCTTCTTTAGTGTGTTATATGAGCTTTATGGGAGGTTCCTGGCAAGAGCCCTGGACCCTGCCAGAAGCCTTCCCGTTCCCTTATGCAGTGCCAGTATGTCCCAGTCCAGTCTAGAAGCCCCTGCAGTGGGGGTGCCGGCCCTCAGCAGTGCCGGTGGTGAGCACCCATGAGCACCTGGCCCCGCGGGACAGACTAACCACAGAAAGTGCATTTTGGAGGCAGCTCCCAGGCTGTGCCGTGCCTGCCCCATTCCCACCCCCGGCACCGCATCTGCC